AGAAGGCATTTGAATAAAGTATTTTTGAAGTATTGTCAGCTCCTAGTCAAAAGCTTAAGTGGTATTTCAACAGACAAAAACCTGAAGCTGGATTGTAGATAGTTTTTGCCACCTTCTTATTCAGAAAGATCAGCCCTCAGCAGCCCAAATAGGAGAGAACTGACATGGCTCCAGTGAAAACATGGCAACATTTTTAAAGGGTTTAGCATGGCAGAAGTAATTATGTCAGTCACCCTGACAATCATTGTAAAAGTAAGGGTGCAACTGATACAGGGCTCAATATATACAACTTAAACTCTAAGACAATAAGTACCAATAGATTTGTAGAAAATGCCACAAATTTAGAGAAGATTATTGATCTCTTTCCTATCTTTTCAGATTGATAGAACATACCAATCACACACACTTCTTCAAAGAATACTTGCTGGAAGAGTGTCATCACAACAAATAAAAAGCAGAATGATATAAAATCAATATACCATATGTTAAATGGATTAAGTGCGGCTGAATGGTAATTATTTTAAATACAGTTAGACTCTGGGACTGATTTTCAGACAGTTGTGTTTAGACTCACCAGCTCTGTCTGGACACTCATGAAAGCTCAGTCAGTTCAGCTTACTGAAGCACTTACAAATAGCTGCAGAACATAAATTTACCAAGTGAGAGTGCTTCAGTGAAAGATGTCTACAGGTTCCCCCTCCCACTCCCTGAGACCAGCAGATAATTCCACACCACACGCAACATGGTTGGTGGATATTCAGATTGACCTATTTCAAGTCCATCTAGAACTCAAAGGTACAATAAGCCGCTTTTATTACAAAAGCTTGAGTTTGCTGCTTAGTGCTAATTTTCTATTTGAGGAAGTTCAGCATCACACTCAGATAGATGAAACCTTCATGGGGAAGGAAGGTACATTATGAGCCAGAGATTATTAGACAAGCAATGACATTTTCACACAAGAGGAGGTTATCACCTGGAGCATAAAGGCCCAAAGGAAAAGGTTTGCAGTGCACTGCGACATGACAGTTATTTACTACAGCTAAAGATCCTAGGCCCTTCATAGAGATGCAGTGAACATGGCAGGGGTTTCTGAGCCAGAGATGACCTACTTTAAGTGATGGACTGAAATACATGAATAACGTTTCCAAAACTATAGAACCAAAGATTGACATTACACTTTTTTGCAGTTCTATTTAGGTATAAGTTGCAATGGTGAAGCTTTCCCCTTACTCTCTCTTCTCCCATTACAGAGAAGGGGGAGGGTGGACTTCGTAGCCTCATGTGACACAAAGTTCAGACTTCCACTTCCACAGCAGGCCAGATCCAAATTTTGCAGAGCATTTCTGTTCTGCCTTCTGATCCTCCTGTCTTTGGGCAAACTTCTGACTGCAATCCACAAACCAGCACCAAGCAACAGCTGATCCTGTGCCAGTCATTTCCGTTAAGAAAACAAGAGGAAAAACCCCCAACAACCTAAGAGACAGGCAAGAATTTGTACAAAGATAAGGGTCCAGACAGCATGAGGAGGAAGCTTGAAAACAGAAATAAAAAAAAGAGGAAACCAGAGAGATCAGGATGCAATTTCCACACATCTTGAGCAGGGGGCAGGGGTAAGAATAGCAAAGCAACAAATGAGTGCCAGTCTTCTATCCCTAGGACATAAAAAGAACATCTCGTGCTCTCAAAGCTCAAAATATATCTTAAATATCCAGCTCCTATCTAGCTGGATCACCTATCTGTTAGAATACTGGTCTCAAGCATCTTGATCCTCCAAGTTTCACAAGTTGCATGAATGATGTGTGTATGTGTATCTCTCTCTCTCTATATATATAATATATACATATACTAAAGCCCAAACTTATGTCTAGAATTCGGTGTTTCAAAGATATTAAGGTATGTTGGCTTTGAGATGCAGAATAGGAGCAAGAGTGAGCTCTAGGTCACATAGCTGATTTTCAGCAAGCAGAAGGCGAGAAGGAATTAAGGCAATAACACTAGAATCCAGAGCCAAGCTATCCCTGCTTTCTAGTGGGGAAAAAACCAGGAAGACTGGGAACAAAACTACAGGAATTAGAGGTCTAAGGAGTTCATTTCTACAGAAAGAATTAGTAGAAAAATTTCTGAAATAATTAGTCTTTGAATGGAAAAAAGAGAACATCCCATCACCAACCTCAACAAAAATACTGAAGTCCTCTGCATCTATGTTTGCTTAGGGGTATGGCTGGGTTATGTATTTAGAAGCTGACATATCACTCTGAATGCTTAAGAGAGGAGTGGCAGCTTCAAGAAGTTTTTTCCATGTAAACATTGCCCTTAACAGAGATAGGAAGGTCTGAGGAATTTTCAGCTTATATATCAAGTCACAGTGTGCTGGTTCACCCTAAACCACCAACTACACAGCCATCTACAACAGACAGATCCTAAGCAGCAAAGGTCTCTAGAAACATGATGAGCACACTGAATTCCTGGATGAGAGTGTGGAAAACTCCATACAGAGACTGATTCCAGGGACTAGGACAGCCTCCTTTTGTGAAGGAAGGCAAAGATGACAAGGCAGGCATTAAAAAAACAACAAAACAAAAGATACCACAAGTAACCAATTAACTAATGGTGCTGAGTTTCTTGCAGGCTTGGCCCAAGCATCCCACATTGCAATCGCCCCAGGTACACCAGTGTCCACAACACATTAGGCCAACTCCTGTCCACATCTGCAGGTTCCTCTGCAATACTTGATTTCCAAATGCCTAATATTTAAAAACCTTCCTTTGAAAACCAAACCTCTCAGACTACTTCTGAAGTAGGTGGCAAACAAGCAACAAGCTACAGTGTTTGCCTTTGTGTGCCAAAAGTTATATTTTTAAAGAACGCAGTTCTCTGAAAAAGGAAACATTACTTTGTTATTTAAGTAAAAAACAAAAGATTACCTTCAGCTTCACTTGTTGCAAATGAACATCATTGCTTCCTCTGCTCCTCAGCTTTAAACTTATGAAATGCATTGTCTATAGGGACCTAAGATGAAGGAAAGGAACTTACGTCATGTCTATCTTAGGTTAATATTTATAATCCTTTTCTCAGGGGACACCACTGTGCTGCCTTTGTACCAACACTGATCAAGTCATCCAAAACCTATCACCTCCAAGAGAACAGCAGTTCTGTTGCATTTCTCCACTGATTTTATCACCGTTAAACACAATACTCCCTTCTCTATCGCTCAGCCCAATACCTCAGTCCCTTTCGTTTCCTTGCTGCTTCTTGCACCAAACCATTTCTGTACCATTGGTTCCTCTTCCACGCTAATGTAATTTCCTCAGAGATCCTGATGCTATTTTGTTTTGAATAGCAACAGATAACACTAACATCTGTTGCTCAACCATTACCCTGTCACCATCTCTACTGGCTGTTTTCTTCTCCATTCACATCAGAGTTCTATAGCTTTTGCCCATCTCTTATTTTTATGTCACAAGGATCATAGCACTCAGCACGAGGAGCCTGCAGAGCAATCTGTTAGTCCGCCATCTATGTGACTTTTTGTGCAATCTCTGCAAGCCAGTAACACAGAGGTCATGAGGTTCATAGAAACTGGGCAAAAATATATTGTCCCTGCAATTCTTCGTAAAAGTGAGTCAGTTTTCTAGTTAATTTCTTAGGTTTGTTCCTCTAAGCAGTCAAAGCTATTCAAGACAAATTATATTTGTACAAACCAAATGAAAGACAAGTGTACCATCACTGTTAAAAATCCACAAAACTTCAAAGCACATCAGCAGTTTTTCATGCTCAGTTTCAGAGTAACAGAAACAATATGAATGATGAGCACTGAAATGTCATTTTAAGGAACAGTCCCAAAGAACCACACCCAAGCCCCTTAAGCTGCCACGCTAAATTTATATGTTGGCAAATTATATATCTCCTGAAACTCCATATTAGGCTTGCAGTACCATATTCAATAGGTTTCAATACTATTATCTCAGAATATCATCAAGTATTCTATTCTTACCTTTAACTCTAGAAATATACATCAGCATAGTAAAAGGAAAAACACTTCCCTTCATAAACTTCACTACTTAACATAAGAGTACTTTAAACCAATTAACATGTCACATGGTTCAGTATCAGGCTACCTTGTTAAAAAACAGTTGCTTTTTATATCTAGGTTATTTCATGCACTTGATATTTCCCCAGCATCAGCTGTGAGTATTCTAAACCAAATTTCAGAGTACCTTTCAATTGGCTTGCTAATTTTAATAAAACCATCACATTTTTGAACATAGTCACTTTCCCTATAAAAATTGCTTCTCAGATCACTAGACATTACTGTTACACAACACATCAGCGCTCTCCTGCTCGCAAAGCTCATTTTTCTTTCCAAGCGACTGTGAATAGATCTAGGCATAACTATTTTGAGCAAGTATTTGTGAATGTTGGTGTTATTTGAGCCCTTTGATCTTTTATCCTTATGGTTTTGCATCTTTTAGTATCTTGCTGTTTTAGCTGTCAAAAGTAGTAGACAAAATCCCTCGTAACGCCTTACCAAAGCCAAAATTTCCAACTTTCTGGTGTTCCCACCGAGAGGGGAACCTTCCCTGCCTACACATGACGCAGTTGTCAAAAGCAACCAACAGCAGCCTTATCTCTCAAGTGTCACTTCTCATATTAGGGGACCCGCCAATACTTAGAAAAGAAAGGAATTCTGCAAAGTGCAGGGAGGCTTATCAGAAAGGGCATGGCAGAAGAACAAAAAAGAGAAAAACAGTGAGGAAAAAAGTATCTTTAAATTGAGAAAATATAACAAGAAGAGAGTAGGGGAGAACGGAAGCATCGGAACAATCAGCAGTAAATATATTATGAATTGATATGGGAAAAAGAGTGAGTACCAGTTACCCTAATACAAACAGAACTTTAAAATGCCTCCAAAACTTAAACCGCACAAGGAAGAAAAGTGATCAATATTTGTGCAGCCTTGGATAGTTGCTATCTTAAGACTGAATAAGGAGAGCTTTGTTACCATCTCCTCCTTATGGCCTTATGACCAAAATCAATTATTGTCCTGTTAAATCTTAATTTGTCATGTGGCACATTGGCAACCAAGACAAAAGGAAGTAAATATGTAAGCAATCCCCTCCAAAGCAGCCATTTTCAAAAAAGCTTCACATACTTACATCAGATTAAGTCACTCAGTTAATATTTCTTCAAACAGATAGAAGACAGAATGTAGACAACGTGCATGAAATGAAAAAGAATAACTTTAAAATAAGTAATTTCTTCATGCCTGTGAATTTAGCCTGACTACCCACTCACCCTCTGTTAAGAGATTCCTAATAAGTGAGCATCCTCAGAGGAAAACCAGTTGCAACACACAAAAGCATTATAGTCCATCAGACATCACCTGGTCAGTAGCAGGAGAGAAGTTGAGTGTATCAATCCAAAGGAACTATCTGAATAATGTGGCAAGAAGGGAGATATCTTTAAAGTCCTGAACATCTTTCATTTGCATGTTTGGTTTTGCTAACCACAGCCATAAATATATCCATGATAAATCAGCCCACCCACTTTGCTATGCTCCAGAAGTAGAAGATGTTCTCCATTCTACACAGAGCTAGGGAATCTAGGCTTTGTCTTGGAAAATAATAAACACAAACTGGTGGTTGGCTTTACCAAAAGGTTATTAAACCTGTTGCCTTCTTTACACTCCACCTAATTACAGTAGGTCTGTGCTGAGTTTTCAGTAAGTCTGTGCTGAGGTCTCCATGGCACCATGGAGAACTTTGTATTCTACAGAGTACTGAGTTACTAGACATTCAGGCTTGCTTTCAGATTCTATGAAATTCTTCATGTGAATTTATATTTCTTATATGCCTTTGAGTACAAGCATTTCATCATGGTTATCTTGCATTAAGCTTTTTCCTTCCAGTTTGGACTTCAGAATCTACAGTCTGATAGTGAAGATGGGAACACAGACTCCAAAAAGAAGTCCGGAAGTCTTTTTTAAAAAAAAAAAAAACAGCATAGCTCAGTTTACCAGTGATTGGCATCTATTACCTCAACAGCTACAAGTACATTTGCTTGCTGCAACATCTTAACCTTTTCATTTTAACCCATTTCCATTTTCTTTAAGCTAGCAAAAGAATTTAAAGTAACTGCTTATATTTAAGGCAAACCAATTACTTTGTGTGTGCTTAAACTGATTCCCAAATCTGGGAAAAGCCTAAGCTTGATGTTTTCCTATAGTGCAGAACTTCACATCCAATCCTAGTTGGGAGGTGAATTCATGATTTAACGAAATACAGATTGATACATATATTGACAAAGGAGAATCAGTTTGGCGCCAAGAGTTTCACATGTATCAGTAACATAAATCTGCCCTCTTACTAGATATGCCTATATCTTTTCAAATGCCATTTAGCTTTTTCTGCTTGAGCTTTATTTTATACAGCTAAGCATATGTTTTAATCATTCAGCAGAAAGCCCATCACTCATCTTTCCATGAACACACACCTCCAACCTGGCATCCAGTTTAAGTTGCCATTTTTATTTTCCTGAATAACCTTGACAATCTCTTCACCTATCTGAAGGTAGAAATGTATTCTTATTTAAGTCTTTCCTTCAGGAATTGCCTGTGCCTCTGCTTCATCCGATCCAAGTCTCTTCAATTTGCAACTGAAAGTATTTTTTTCCCCCCCTAAAGTTAATCAATTTTTTCTCCCTCTGTCATTAAACAGTCAAGTGTTTAAATTATCTCTAACACCAATACAATAAAAAGATTAAATCAATTATTTTCTACATTAGTTATTTCAGGTTTTTCCCCCTTAAGTGTTTTATAGAAACAAAAGTTACAATGGAGATTAATATCTAATTGGAGAATTTCATAAGGACACGATTGAGTTCTGTGAAACATTCCCAACTGAAAACTCAAAGGATGAGATAAATAAACTTGAGCATTTTACTCTTTTTAATGATTTCTACATGAGAGTTTTTTTTTCCTCCAAGAGAACTCTCACTTGTTAAAAAGTTCTTAAGCAACCTATTTTGGGGTGCAGGATTTTTACCACTCAAGTATAGCTATATTAGCTAGCTTAGCTACAAATTAGTAGTCTTCGAAATCAGTTCTCCTCACTTGCAGGCAAGGGTCTATTTGTAAGGGGCCGCTTGTTCTCCCCAAATATGCTTTCCATGCCGGGATAAATTAACAATCTGCCTATTCCTAGCAAGATTTGAATATTTCCTGACCTGAGGAAGGTCAGAGAGCTAGGGCAGGAAAGGATTCAACATGAAAGGCAGGGCATCAGGTGCCATCTCCTGGCTCATTTCTGCATGGTGCTGCACACTGTGCAACCAGATGCATTTGCTGCATGATGCGCTGCTAACCCTGTGCAACTCAGCAAGGCTCTGGGAGGGACAACTGTCACCAGAAGCAGTTGCTTGCAAGCAGCCATAAATTAGAAATTCTCCAAAACAAATCTCTCACATACTTCAATTTGTTGTATTTGTAGATTGTTATCTGTATCATAACATACAATGTCCTGATGAAAGCTTATCTAGCTCTTGTGGAATTAAATCCTTTTAGGCATTAAAACACAACATGCAAAAATGTTTCTAGCATTCTGTGAAACTAGATCACTTCCCTTCATATTATGGGGTTCAGTCTACTTTTAAGATGCTTGTTTTGACACTAAAAACCTAAAAATTTTCTACCTCTAAAAATCAGTGAACAGTTAATTTGTCAAATGTCAAATTAGGGAATGTCAAGTTTTAAACTTCAATTCAAATTTCAGATTTTTTATTTAACATCTAGATAAAACTTCTTTTGCTAAGTTGACAGACAGTCTTCAAAAATCTGTAGATCATTAAGCATAGTGTTTAACAAACACTGAAAGCTACAAATGACAAGGAGCATCCATAGAAGTCTGCAGATTTCACTTTTATTGTGAACTCTTAGAGCATGCTTCCTCTGAATTCAGCTACGTACATTGAAACAACATAACATCTCACTAAAAAAACTAACATGCTAAAAACATATGCTATAGGTAATATCTTAATTATGCCTAGGTGATAAAATTCAGTAACTTAATCATTTCCATACTATGTTTTATATGTCTATATTCAGCATCAAGGAGCTTTTCCAAGCAACAGTACCACACAAGTAAATATGCTGGGTCAGGAGT